ACCTCCTCAATTCTATGGGTGAAAACAGGTCACCGCGGACCGTTTACGTGGTATCGATTATCATTTTCGGGTGATCGTTGATCCGTGTTAATATCGCCGCCACCACCTCTGGAAAACGAATAATCATTCTCGAAAAAAGAACCGCACAAAACGCGCCGCGGCGGTAGAATTTTTCGCGACGTAACAATGGACCGCTCGGTGGTTCCCATTATTATCTCGGAACCCGTCGTTCCTTTTGGCGTGAAACCGGGGTAGAGGATAGACTCGAGCTTTCAAGGGAGATTTATCTTTCTGGGAATCGATCAGCGAAGAATGAACCTGGGAATTATATTTCACAACGGAGTCAGCTTTAACTCGGAAAACGTGTTCCCGCCCCTAAAACGGGAGGCGGCGGCGATGGCTAATAGCCTGATTGACAACTTTCTCCGTGTATGGAACTTTATCGTGTCCTCCTACCCGTGTCTATCCTGGGCGGATATCGAGGACATCAATCTGGCATTACGAGCACGTACCACGTGGCTCGTCGCGCGGCCACGAGCATAAAACGTATAATATTCTCGGGGGAATTTTCCGAAACCCTGTTTTATCCACGTAAGTTCGTTTTGGCACGAAGGTATGTGGAATTTCCGTCTCGAGAGTTTCCTCCCTTTATTCGAACATTTTGCGTCTTGAAACTGAAGTCCTGTAAGATTGTCTTCAGGATGTGATGTAATTTTATTCGGATTAAGTACTGGATTAGGTCTCGTACGTGAGTAGTAAATCGGATGTAATCGGCCAAATGAATTCCTACCGTTTCATAAATCCTTAATTTTTTTAAAGTCTCTGTTCGTAATAGATTCGACCTGGTTTGTATCATTGACGAATAAATTTCACACCCCACTTGTATCCACGGGTATTTCCCCCGCAGTGGGTACAGATTAAATCTTAGGTTATGTTTCAGTGATTATCTGCTCGTGAATCGGTTAAAATAAGGTGACCAGACGTCCTGCATTTGAGTTGCTTGTCTCGCATCGAAAAATGTCCCGAAAAGTGATGACCCAGATTCGATATGTAACTGTTTTAACATGTTCGCAGTGGCACAAAGTTACTGTTTCCTCTACTTGATACTAGATAGCGCTATTAACTGGCAACGAATGTTTCCACAATAGACGCAATGGACTAAGAAAAAGGGTGCTTTAAAAAATGTGTTACCTTCTTTTGAACATGTCCCTACCTAAAAAATCGGGTCACCTTAGATTAAAAACATATGTAGCCTATATAGAACTTAACAATCCTCATCGTGGTTGTTATTTTTTATACCGGTTCGATCTATATCCAGATTAGATCTGAGTCACTGTTACATTATCCCTGGGTTAGATCTAAAATAGATTCGGATGAAAGATAGCGCATAGCGAAATCGCGTAACACGCTAGAGAATAATACATTATAACCTACTTATATTCTTAAACATACGTAAAATCTCTTTGAATTAAATTCCCGTTATCGTCCAAGAATCTATCCTGGAGTATTCATTAGTTCCTAGATTTAATTCTACGGTATACAGCCGCCTGGAAGTCCTCGATCAAGTTCAAAATCCTAACCTCACGCAAATTTAAAATCCTAACCTCACTCAAGTTCCAAATCCTAACCTCAATTCAACCGATGTCAAGTCCTGTGTCCTTTAAAGATGGCGCCACTTTCGATATCGCTCCTTCGACCAGGGTTTTCGCAGAAATTCATCTTCAGAAATTCGTTCCAACGAGGACTTCTCCGTGTCTCCCGTGGCCAGCTACGGCCACTGGTTTGGCCCCGTCGTCGACGTCGGCCTTTTGGCAGCCGAGCAATCTCGGAAGGAGTTCGACTTATTTATTATCCTTCGCCGCTTAATTTAGCCCCCGGGCCGCGCCGGTGGAGAGACGCGTGACGGAAGCCCCCGACGACGGTCGTTAAACAAACGCATTACGACAATGTCCGTATCGAATCGAACCGTTCTCCTCTGTCCATGCCTTCGATTACATAAGCAACCCCGTCCGTTGTTATAAATATATCCCGAGATTCCTCGTCCTACAGCAGCAAGGTGAGATACACGTCTGGGTCGTGAGCGAGAAATCTCTTTGCGTAATCTGGCCGCGAGACGTTCGCTATCTGGATAATTTTCGGTGAATAAATCGTGTATACAACCAGGACCAGGCCACTTAGCGGAGCACTTTTTAGGTGTTATCTTCTCGATTGAAATACGATAACTACAATAAGAAACAAGGTTCTCGTATCTCTGGCGAGACGAAAAAGTCATGCTGCGACAGGGAAACAAAAAGGAACGGGGGGAGGTTAGATATACAGGGTGGAAGAAAAGTGTTGTAGGTCCCTGAAGTAGGTCACTCGTGAGGTGATTTGGAATAAGATTTTCTTTAGCAAAGATGTTATCCAAGGCTTTGATAACGAGATATTAACGAAAAAACCCGACTCGCGCTCTGATTGGTCGAGGTTTTTCGTTAATATCTCGTTAACAAAGCCTCGGATAACCGTTTTTGATAAGGAAAAACTTGTTCCAAATCACCTCACGAGTGACCCATTTCAGGGACCTACCACACTTTTATTACACTCTGTATAAATGAAACAGTCGAAATCGTTTGCATTCCTGATATACATATATTGGATTTTGGTTTATCGAAACCGTGTGTACATATTTATACACTCGGTTAACGATGAACCTATGGTATTAAGGCGTATTTCGCGATGAAGAAGAAATAAACAGCCTGGACAGATGGGGAGGGGAAGTATGTCTGGCGAACGGAAACTCCTCCTGTACTCCAATCGGCGCGAAACTTCGACTCGCGGTTTGACGGGCCTCGGATAGCAGGAATACCAACCGCGAAATCCATTAGCCACACGGGGCTGCGGGAAAGTTGCTTCGTGGCTTGTTTAACCGTGGAAAAGTGGCGAGCATAATTAACCCGTTAACTACAGACCCACTCGTCTCAGAGATGAGTAATTCAACGAACGACTATATTATACAATACTTTTACTAAAATTCGTTTTCTTTGAGTCGACGTCAAATACTGTTCGGCTGGTATTAAAATTTGAGGTTTCCTTTTGTATCTAGGAAAATATTAACGATAAAGTAATTCTTGAGAGTGAAGTTGTAAAAAAAATCACGTAGCAAGGGGTTAATTCCACCAACTAAGCAGCCAGCGCGAATTGAATTATTCAAAAATCATCGAGCAATGGTCCTTCGGTTAACAATGCCCGGTCAACTCGGAAAAGGAACGCCCCGAAGTGACAAAGAACCATGGGGAGGGCTAGGGGGTTAAAGAATGGAGGAACCAGGCTCGAAAGATGGAAAAGAGAGTAACGCCTCGACGATGATAGAGGCGAGAGCCACGGATGAAAATAAGGGGTAAAGAAGAGGGTGGGGGGTGAGTGTGAAGGAAGAAAAGCATTCGAAAATTCGCTCGAACCGTCACCGCCGCAGAAGCTCCCTCCCCCCCCCCTTTCTTCAGGGTGTCGAGGGTTCCTTCATTGTCCAAGAGAAGAGAATTGCCTCGGTGCATCGCGACCACTGCAGTTTCACGGAGCTGGGAATGCATTAGGCAGATGGAACGTGTAATTGGAGTCGCGCTGCGTGGCACACACGTAACCGTGGTGGTGGCGGCCCACCTGTCGTGTTTCCACGTCCTTCGTCTTCTCGGCCTTTTGTCCCGTTCTCGGTTTCTGTCTCATACCCCCATTTCGCGAACAGTGTAAATTCGCCATTAACCTGTTTAGCTTCTTGTCGGGGTAAAAGGGGGTCGCCTCCATCACGGAACGTGGTTTCCAATGTTCGATGCGTTGGAGTTTTACTGCCTTCGATTTTCTGATCGACGAGACCCTTTCGCTTCCGGTTCTTCGACATTACAATGATCGAGGGTTTATTAAATGATTGGTCGGGTAGAAGTTTGATGTAATTTTGCTTCGAACGGAAAAGCTTTAGGAGTTTTCTTTCGTCGTTGAAAAGGATAAACGTAAATATACAGGGTGTAACAAAAGTGTTGTAGGTCCCGGAAATGGGTCACTCGTGAAAATGTTATCCGAGACTTTGTTAACGAAATATTAATGAATAACCTCGATCGATCAGAGTGAGACCTAACCCATGCTGCAGTTTTCATGGGACCAGTCTCATAGTGACGTGTTACTTGTGTCCACAGTCATGTTTTTCAGAATAGAAATATTATAATCAACAAACTATACAAGACTTGTTGAAAGCAAATACAAGAACTTACGAATACATTATCTAAGATCGCCTTAGCAAATAATTGGCTCGATGTTTATAATTTAACTATGAATATGAACAAAAAAACCAAAAGAAGAGAAACTTACCTGAATGACCTAAATAACAGATTCAGCTTGACCACAGTATACGATTCACGTTATTGCTTAGCATCAATCGGTGAAATAATAAGGGACACTATACACATGTAACTGTGTAAAGCAAATGTTCTAGAAACGTTTGTAGAAGGGTGGGGGGAGCCGTGTTACTTTCATATCACCGTTACTTTTGTCCCTACTCTCCCCACAATTTCGGAACTGACACGAAGTAGACTCGTAAAAGTTCTCCCGTACACGATGATACGGAATAAAAGTACTTCGTTCATTTCCGAGCGGCCAGCCAGTCAAAGGGTTGGTAACAAAACGATTCATACCTGTTTCCTCCAATATACAGGATGTTCCAAAATAAAGTCCTTGAAAGAGCCGATTCCTAAGATGATTTGAAAGGGGATTTTCAAATCACTCCAGGAATCATCCTCCATTTCAAGAACTAACAATTATTTTGGAACCCCCTGTATATTCGTGTATCTGCGTGTGTGTGTGTGTGTGTGTGTGTGTGTGTGTGTGTATGTCTGCTATGCATGTGACAGTGTGAAAGTGAAAGCAATAGCGAGCAAATGGTGTGCGGAGAGAGAATGAGAGAGAAAGAAGGGGGTGTGGTATACGCCGCAGAGGAACAAAGCCACGTTAAGCTGGTTGCGATTGGTGTGTTGCAGACACGAGGTGCCTGTCACCTCGGAGCCGATCACGGTGATACACATGGACGAGGACGTCGTCGTGGTCAACAAGCCCGCCTCCATCCCTGTAAGTGGTGTACTGCCAGGACTGGTACTGCCAAAACGCTTCTTGTCGCCTCGGTCTATCTCTCTCTGATCCTCCCAAAAAACGACGACGATTGCGCACCCACGCACTCACGCCCAACGATATCCTCGGTGTTTGTCTCTCGGCCGATCATCGGATCCCTCAATTTCGTCGACTCGCGAACGAGTTTGATCCTCGATTTTCTCTGACAATTGCAATCCGCGTTCTACTTTTGGCCAACGCAACGGAGCGTGATCGTTCGTCGTGTCATGATCACGGGATTTCGATCGTCCGTTCACTGAATCGGTTAGTCACACTCGGCGTTAGATCGTCGAATTCGGAGAACCACTCGAAGGAGAGGAGATAATTCCAGTAATTCGCGGAAATAGGACGATTCACGGATCTGAATCGGGGCTCTGCGACACCACCGAAGCCGAGGGAGGGGGGTTCGGGAGTTAAGATCTTTGGACGATTCGATAATTCGAGGACATCGACGCTTTAGCTTACGGGAGGGTCTGGGTTTGCGTGGGAACGGAGGGATCATAATGGTACACGCGGTGATCACGGATCCGAATTTAGGTAGAACACTTACCAGAATCACCCTATATATATATCATTCCTAAGTCGGAAGCACGTGATCGCTTGAACAATTTTTTTTTTCTCTCGAAATAAAACCAGGGATATTCAATACTGTTCGTATTTCTACACGTATTTCTCAAGGGTGTTTCTATGATTTTGCGAATATTTCGATCGCGACGACACGATTTTGCGAGAGGAAAGAAGAATCCTAGGGAAAACTGTCGTCAAACGGGGACTGTCCAATATGGCCGACCGGTGCAATCGTCGTCCAAAATCCTCCCCCCTTCTCCTCCCAGTTTGTTACTTTTCCAAAAGCGCGCCTTTACTTCTCACGGTAAGTTTGTCCGTTTCTTTGGCTGGCAATTAACCCCGCACGCACACGCTTCGCAGGTGGATATTTTTTTACTAATTTTTACCGTGTCTCGGCGGCCTCGACCGTTTACTCATCGTCCAGACGACGAGAGAGAGAGAGAGAGAAAGATGACCTTCGGCGCGAACGTTTCTTCTTTTTTTTTTCTATGAATAATCGCGCGGCGATGTTGCAATGCATTTTTATGCGGTGACTCGTGGTTTTAACACGCTTCTCGCATTGTATTCTTATCCTAGTCGATTCCCATCGGAGGAGGATTCCTTTTCTCTTCCCCGAGTCGCGCCATTCAGTTTGCTCTCCGAACTAACACGTACGCCTCCTGCTTACCGTTTTAAAACTAACGAAACCCCGTACCCCAGCGTTTCTTTTATTAGAGAAACATTTAACTGGCATTTATCATTGATTTTGTTTTAGTATTCTGTTTAGATTTACGTGCTTCGAAAGTTCTTTTTTTTTTTTAAACGAAATAATAGTGTCCTTATCGACCGAGAGAGAGAGAGAGAGAGAGTGAGTGAGAGAGTGAGTAAGAAAGAGAGAGAGAGAGATAGAAGACCTCGTCTGAGGTAGCCATCGCGAAATGGTGCTCTCCAATAAACAAGTAGATTTCCATATATATATTAAATAGTAAATTTAGTGAATTGAACGACTATAATGTTCGATACTTTAATGTATTAGGTGTACCAGTAAGTGATCCACTATTTCCTTTTAATAAACCGGTTACACAGTTTTAGTTTAAGGCACCAATTCGGAAAAATGTCTACCATAATTTGATTAAATATGGTAGATTAATTATTGGTACACACCTAATAAAGTCGTGAACTATTCGTTTTCGTGCAGAATTGTCCCGTGCCCGTCCTGGAACGATCACATTCTACTTCGCGTTGAGAGTTAAATTCCTGTCTCTCTATCTATCCTATACAAGTATACAGGACATCCCAAAATAGTCGTAAGTCCTTGAAAGGGGTGATTTGGAAAATGTTGTTTCAAATCACTCCTTTCAAGGACTTACACCAGTTTTGGGACACCCTGTATATTATCTTGTCACCTTCAAATTGATACCATTGATCAAGCATTAAAATGTACATTGAAGCCATTACTCTTGTCTTTATAAATTACTTTCGGAAATTGTCATATTTTGCATAAATATCCGCAGTCTAATCATAAAGTATTCTTCGTTCCCTTTAAGCCGAAGAGAAATACCATTTTGCTCGTATTAATATTTGACATTTTATAGTAATTGTACACTGATATATGAATAATCCAACAATGACTGCTTTATGCCCAGTTTTTATAACCACTTACCATCAATTGAAGATGCTCAGACGCCTAGAGCTTCCGAAATTTTCCGCCAGGTTGTGCTAGAGTGAAAGAAAAAATTCAAATTTGTCACTGGAGGCAAACGAGTGGTCTGCTGGGTAATTAAACGTTAAAATCGTGGAACTGTTTATAAGTACACGAACCTTCGGACACATTCGTAGCCTGGCAGTATATTGCATTTCGAGTTTCTGTCATTTGACGAGCTTTTCGTTCCGCGCGCGTTCTTCGTTCAAATTACGAGCGACCGCAAGAGGAAACCGCGTGCCGCGAAACGTGGACGGGAGGACGCTTAATTACCATTCAGCCCGTTCGGTTAATCGTCGCGAAAACATTTTCGTGGCCGCGAAATGATCATTTAATTACACACCGGAACAATGGCCCGGGGGAACCCCGTTTTATTTCCCGGCCTCTTTTGTCCCTGGGACACTGGACGCGAATAGGCGTTCAGATTTTATGGGGCGTTTTCACTGCTACCGCTATGGAACGAAACGGTTTCGTTCGTGGCTCCCACCTCGTCAATTTTATCTCTCCATTCTAGAAGTAATAGAACACTTGGGGATCGTTTGAAATAGCGACACGATGGATATAATCGAAGCGCGATGGATTTGTTACTGATTTATTACAACAGAGAAGTGAAAGAAAAAAAAAATGAGTTTCAGCGATCGTAAAGAGTAACGAACGTTGGTCGAGTCTACGTGGTTGGAACTAATACCGATTAAACAGCAACCATCGATTTGTCGCTCGAGTCGCGTCTCGTGGTCATGGGACATAAAGCGGAGCGTATCGAACATCGAAGCTCGTCTTACAAGTTCGCCCCGGAATCGCTTGGAATCGTCTTAAAAAATTAAGACCGCCACGAAAGCCTCTTAGCGTAATAAAAAATAGTTTGACCTGGAAGATGGTAGTTGGGAGAAGGGGTTAAAGTTAAAAGACGGTAAATTATGAAACATCGTAGTGTTCTCCATATTTTCTTCTCCTTAGATAACCCCTATGATTTTCTTGACGTCTGCAGTCTCTCGGATTAAATAGTTATCGATACTTTCCCAGAAACGAAAGGAATTCTGTACTTATCGCAACTGTACTTTTCCTGTAAAAGTTGAATATTAATACCAGCAACGTGGTACTTCATTTCGACTCAAGGAAAACCAAATATTCTTTGTAGAATCGATTTTCGTCTAATTCGATGTTATAGGGCAAGGGGTTAATATTTAAAATCATTGATGGAATGGGGGAAAAAACACCTCATATTATGTCAGTGATTGGGTCAAGCATACAGAGGACGTGGATGGAGGGGACGAAGACAGGGATTATCCGGCGAATCGAGTGGTTCTCTCGCTGTCAGTCGGCTGTCAACGGGTCTTTACGAGCCTGCTATCTTCTGTTTATTATCCCGTTTATTTGCCATTTACGCGTTGAACAGTCTACAGCCAATCAAACGCTCGACGTCCAAGGTCTTCTTCGTGATGCTCGAACAAGTCCTTCGAATTTATTGGAATGTTCGCGAAGGAGTTCAAGGATTCCGAAAGATTGTCTATATCATACGAGGAGAATGGCTATATTCCATTTTTATGGGGCAATTAAGATGCGGATGAAAGTTTCGATGACTCTGTGATCTCTTCTATCAGTATACTAGCTTCGGTAGGTTTCGGAGTGTTGGCGAATTCGTGGGCTTTGGAATTTCCGTTCAAACAGATAAGAAGAATTAAATGTTTCCGTTATCGAGGAAGGATGGATCGTAAAGAAGTTGCCATAAAAATTTTGTAATCGACATCGAAAATTCGAATCGCCAGAACCAGTATCGGCAAGTTCCTTTTTTCTTCTTCATAAACCATAATCTGACGAATCTCCGAATCTCGAATGAAAAGTAAAATTGTATCGTAAATCGGTAAATAATAGATACAAAAAAACTAGTCATATTGAATTATGTAGTAGGGTTTAATGTTTAATTCCCAAGCGCAAAGAAAGCGTGTCTGACCACGGACGTTCTCATTCCACTTGAAACGAGTACTTCCGTCGTTTCTTCGATTAAATTATTCACTGAACCTCACACAATAACTTGATGGTAAAAGAAGCAACCAACTTCTATTTAAAAAAAAAAAAAAAAAAAAAAAAAAAAAAAAAATTCACTCGTTTCGTCCACAACCTCGACAACCTTTCCGATCTCGTGACCACGCTATCCTCAAGCCGCAGTGCGATATTTCCCAGCGCACGAATATAAGGGTATTAATCGGTGCCCCCGATATCGATTCGCCGCCATGTCGACCCATTCGAAATTCCAACAGAAAAAGAAGAAAGAAAAAAAAACCGTCGAAACGTTCATCGACCGCATCGGGTACAGCGATCGACGGTTTAACAATCCCCCCCTCCCCCTTCCATTCGTTCGAGGCTTGTATCACACCGCGATGTGTCGGGGCAGCGGGACTTTCCAAACAACGCGTTAAATCTCGCGAACCCGGCAGCGCAAACAATTATCGAAAGCCCATTCAGCGGCCAGGACGATGCAGGAGGTGGTGAGGAAACTCCTCGGGCGGCTCGGTTGTTTTTTCGGGGGCCTGGATCGTCCACATAGTCACCACACACACAAACGAAACCCACGCAAACATCGTCGAACGGATCTGCGGCTGTGCCGAATCACGTTCCCCCTCCCCACTCCTCTTTTGGTCGATCGCCGCGTTGGGTAGGCTTTTTTTCCCCTCTCCCTTCGTGTCAGTGTCTGAATTGCCTCAAGGGGAAGGGGAATGGGTCGCGATCGCGTGTAACGGCCGGCTGTCCCGTGTTTGCACGTGGTCGTTCTGTCCCACGCACGTGTGTCCCCCACGCCGCCAGTCACGGCGGTGTCCCGCCGGTGTCCCGCCGGCGGCCACACGCCGTAACCGTTTTCGAGCCGCCACCGTTACTGGGTAATATTCTAATGGCCCAATGGAATTGCCCTGGCCTCTCGGCTGGTTCTCTAACTCTCGTTCGGTCGATGGAAACGCGCCTTTTAATTTCGAAAGCTCCGCCGGGAAACGGGGGTCGATCGTGTTCGGTCGGTTGGCTCGATCGCCAGGGGGAGGAGGGCTTTATTACGGAATGGCACCGTTCGCGGACCGTATTCGAACCGTTTTAGGGGCAGCACTTTCAGCTCTAACATTTCTCTCTCCTAGGATTTTCTATCGTTTCTCCTTGAAATTGCGAAACCACCGTGTTCCATCCCACTCTCTTTTGCGTTTTTTTCTGCACGATATATCGCGGGGAACGGAAGCAAGGAAGAATAGGAAATGTGGTGTGTGTGTGGCTATTGGAGCGGGATCTGTGGAACGGCGTGTGTGGTTCTTCTTTTTAACGGGTTCACCCGCGATATCTTATGATTAGACTGCGGAAGTTCATGGAAATTCACAGTTTCAGATACGAATATCTGAGAATTTAAATGGGAATAGCAGTTTCAATTATTCTGTACCGGAGACTTTACCACGTTCGGTAGTAACGCGTAAGTACAGACTCCTCTCGATTATTGTCCGGATTGTTGTACACGATTATTGTCCAAGTTAACCCCACCACTGGGGGGTGGCGTAGAACCATCGGAGGATCGGTTTTCGTTCAAAAAACGAAATTACGACGGTCTGAAGCATTTCTCGGGACGATAATCGAGAGGAATCTGTACTTTATTAATACCTTTTGTTTTATCCCACATTTTCCAAATTGCTCGAAGTGCATAAACATCCGTAGTCCATTTATGATAAAAGTACTTCCGTCATTCCCTAGCTTCTTTTTTCCCCGAAGATATATCCCGTTTGTCGTTCAGAGAAATAACTACGGTTGGGCACGGTGAATTGCAGGTGCATCCGTGCGGACGGTACCGACACAACACCGTGGTCTTCATCCTCGCGAAGGAATACAACCTGAAGAACCTGAGGACGATCCACAGGTTGGACAGACTGACAAGTGGCATCCTTCTTTTCGGTAGAACGCCGAAGAAGGCGAGGCAGATGGAGCACCAAATAAGAAACCGACAGGTACCGATACATTCATCTTCTCTGCCTGAAAAGAAACACGCCGATTTCTAAAGATCGGTCGCAATTTGAAATCCCTAATTCATTGACATCAAAATTGCTCCATTCACAACAGGCACCCAACGTATTAACATTTATACATACGCGACTTACTACCCACGACCACAAATAAACCATCCCCAGACCGCGATCATCTATTCGTCAGACTATTTAACATCAAGAACACGCGAAGTCGTGTATCGATCCCCTGATTCCCGGAATATCCTGTTCACAGGTGCACAAACAATACGTGTGTCGGGTGGAGGGCGAGTTCCCGGAGGACGAGGTGGTCTGTTCGGAGCCGATCGAGGTGGTGTCCTACAAGATCGGTGTCTGCAAGGTATCCGAGAAGGGCAAGGACTGCGTGACTCGTTTCAAGCGTCTCAGCTACAACGGAAAATCGTCGGTGGTACTGTGCAAGCCCCAGACCGGTCGTATGCATCAGATACGTGTGCACCTTCAGTTCCTCGGCTATCCGGTGGTGAACGATCCGTTGTACAATCACGTGGTGTTCGGGCCGCAGAAGGGAAAGGGCGGGAACATCGGTAAATCTGACGAGGATCTGGTCCGTGATCTGATCAGCATTCACAACGCGGAGAATTGGCTGGGCATGGACGGGGATTCGGAAATGAGTCTCTTCAAGCCTAAATTGGACATCGAGGAACGTGTGCCGAGCAACGACAAGGACGGCTCGCCGTCGTCGACGCCTGGTTTCACCGAGGAAGAGCAACCGCAACAACAGGAACCCTCGTTGAAGGTGACCGTTGGCACGCAGACCGGTTCAGAGCCACCGGATTCGAGCTTCGCGACCGACAAGATGACCGTCGATCCGCACTGCTACGAGTGCAAAGTGAAGTACAGAGACCCGAAGCCGTCTGATCTGGTGATGTATCTGCACGCGTGGCGTTACTGCGGCCCCGGCTGGGAATACGAGACACCGTTGCCCGCGTGGGCGTCCAGCGACTGGGCCGACGAGGACCGATAGTTCTTCCGTGTCTCGGGGACAGACACACATACACACCAACGAGCGAACGAGCTGTCGTCATGCACCCTTCGTACACCCCCCTTTTTGATATCCTTACCCCGTGCCTTCCATCCGCCAGCGAGCGATCTCGACCATCGTACATGTACCCACACCCCTTGTTGTTGACCAGGTCGCTGGACTCGCGATCAAGACCACGCCTCGACGTTGTTGGTCCTCTCTCGATGAAAACCTACCTGCCCCAGGTGTCTGCGCCGAATCGAGGTTTCGAGGACGCCGAGGAGAAGCAGGGATAATGGGCTCCGTGAATCTATTCAGGATACTACACACACACACACACACTGTGTATAACGTTGTTTAACACGTTGACTGCCAGCTACGAGATAACTCGTAGTTGAAACATTGCGAACATGCTGGATTATTTAAGTACCTCTACGAAATTTTGACATAACATTAATATCACAGTATAATTCAAAACAAGACAAGCAAGCTCTGTTAATCAAACGCATATATTTTCAAAGATTTATGACTTAAAAAATGAAATAAAGTATGTCTGGCTACATACTGCCTTTTCCACTGTGGCAGTCAACGTGTTAACACTAAACCTACCACAACCGGACAAATGACTGCTTTTGCCGTTCTAATTCCTATCTCTCCGAAGGGTTCGGTAGGTTTAGTGTTAAGTTGAATAGATTCATCGAAGGTATGCCATCCAGACCCGTGATGTCCGAATACATACCTTGTATACCAATGATACTAAGGTGGTTATTAGCACTACTCGCGTCGTTACACGGTCCATGGTCAATCGCGAATGATGAATGGGGATCTGGATCGTAGAAAGGGACATATGTAGCCATGAGGCGAGGTTGCACAACCTCTACGCGGACATCACTGCTCTAGGCTCGGAATATTGCGCATAATCGTCGGGGATTGAGATAGATAGTCTGCTGCTAGGGTCCACGATGTTCGGGCGCGCGTTATCGATCCGGATTCGAATCGGAATGACGACCGTCCCGGGTGAAGGAACGGGATCGTATGAAAGATTGAACCATCCAAGCCCCTGGTACGATGGAACGATATCCCGGCTGGTTCTATATACGGGTCGGTCGAAAAGTCACTGCCATCGGAGCGCACGAGAGAAGATTGATGCAGCTGTCAGCCGCGCGCGGGAGCTCGGATGGATACCCCGTCTCGTATCGGTTCGGTTTTCTTGATTTATGACAAGGACCGTATTTCTAAGACCGTGTCAGGGACGCGGAATCCGATGCTAATCTTGACGAAAATCCGATCCAGGCTGTTCCCGTGAATTTCTGGACACTCTTGGATGCTAGAGCTTTTAGGGGTCCGTCAACTGGGAACGCGGAGTCATCGTGTACCGTATATAGTCCAATGGATATTGTATACATACATGCAGAAATTCACTTATTTCGGTCAATTATGTATATTTTGTTTTCATCGAAATCCGGGATCGACTCTGTTTTAGATACAGTGAAGTCTAACTGTATTACCACGCGAGACACTTCACCATCACACGTACTTTCGAGCACACAAATTCAGTCTCAATCCAACTTTTGCGCAGACACTGAGGCCGCGGCTATGACGATAGAATTTAGCATGGAGGGGGCTTTGAACTCATTGCTATTTTACTCCCCTACAGCCCCGACCATGGCAATATAGTTAGAGTTCACTGTATATAATTTCCAGATTCTAATTCAATACCACTTTCCGTTCTCCCGTGTACTCGTGCAGGTCACTCCGTAAATTTATGTGTACATTTTAAAATGGCAAAAAAAAAAGAAACTAAAGAATGAGCGTACAAATTAATATTAAAAGGACACCAAGTGAATCTGATTTATAATCATTGTACTTCCACGGAAAACACATGATTAAGACGTCCCACAAAAACTTGTTCGATGTATCGAATGATGCCAGCTCCCGCGCACAGACAGCAGAATGAATAAACGAAACCGAATCGTCGTCGACCGGCGTTCAGTGATCATCTTCAAGAGCCGCGCTATATATAATATATGTATACATTATATACATATATACATCCACATGCAGAATATTAAATAATAGCGCAGGTCCAGCGACATGGGTCTCCAAAACGATTGCAAGCGTGATCTTGCCAGAGGATAGCCAACGATCATGCCAAAGAGCGAGCGCGTCCGGCGAGAGATAATGTGTGTGAGAGAGAGAGAGTGAGAGAAAAAGAAAGAGAGAGAGAGAGAGAGAGCTTCATTTCAATCATATCGTGTACGTGTACCTTGTTCCAGCGCGTCCGAGCATGGACTTGTAACAAGTACAATCGAACCGAGTGAAATAACGAAATTAACGTCGTACATTATTTTACTACGAGTGCCGTACGTTCCCTTTAGCGGGACATATACGCAACAATAGGGTTATATCGTTGTGACAGATCATCCGTAAGAGACGACGGAAACCTCCGAATTCGATCTACAGTGGTGTTTAAGGTCGATAAGCTGTTCAGGACCACCAGATTCATCTCTACTTACATGTATATGGAATAAACGAAGTGTTTACGATTGGGACAGAACCAGTGGGGCCCGTCACACAGCTACACAGTTGGTTGCTTTAGTTATTTTAGGGAAATAAGATATGCAAGACAGGGTTTCTTCTGTTGAACAACAAGATGGAATGAATGTTCTGTGACCTTGGGAGGCCAACCTCGAGAGTATATTCTGATTGTATTGGAAGAGACATATTTATAAGTTACAACAAAAGCACACAATTGGCAACCCAGAGTCACCGAGGAATTTGTTCCTTTCAGAATGTCCGATTCCTCGAATCCTCAGTCTCCCATATCTGAGTATACAAACTGTACACAACAGTTTTCTGTCATTCGAAGAAACACACACACACACAGAGAGAGAGAGAGAGAGAGAGAGAGAGAGAGAGAGAGAGAGAGAGAGAGACAAATGACACAATGTCTGGAATCGTTTGCAGTGAAGGAAGTGACCTTGAAGAGACGTACGCGTTGCGTCTGTGATCTTTAATGGAACAGTCTACAGTGACCCAAAGATGTCACCAATCAGAATGTATGCGTGCGTGTTACACAGTAATTCTTGCATCCTCCCTTCGATTAGAATATCATGCCTAAATTAATCTTGACTCGTCGAAATCAGTCTTATCACCTGATTTTACATCTTTGCCTCACTGTACGCGGGTGCCAGTATCCTCTGATGGACTTGAAAAGTGTAATCAACGTGACGCGAAGGGAACAAAAAGAAACCTTCTTTTATATAAAAAGCTTTATAACAGTTACGAGTACCTTTTAGATGAGAATAAAATTACAACTCCTGATTCCGACGAAATGTTAAGCGAGAGAGGGAGAAAGAGTGAGTGAGATGGAGAGAGAGAGATACTGGAAAGAAACACGCGCGCGGGGTTTCTCGTCGTCGCTCACAGTCTATCGAGAGTAAGATGCGATCAGAGGGAGGTGGACAGAGATTTTTAGATAGATAGAGGTAGGAGGGGAGATAACGTAACAACGGACCTATCATAAAAGACAGTGTGTGCGCTTACTAACTCACCCGGGATAATTTAACGAGAGTTATTCCGAATGTAATGGCTAGCTTAATTTTATTTAAGTAAACTAACCGGATATTGACAAAAACAGGGCGTGAGAGTGAGGGAGAGAAATATAAAATATACGAGAAAATGAAAAAACAGAGGACAAGACAGTTGAAGAGAAAAAAAAAAAGACAGTGCCGATTAAAATGGCAACCGGAAAGAGAATCATCGGTCTGTAAAATCGAGCAATCGCTTTTGTATGTATATACATATATATATTTGTATTGTATACGATATATATATATATTGTATACGCACATTGTACCGTATCCGAGCGACATTATTATCTGTACCGTAGTCAGCGGAACGTTAGAGCTAGAGAATTTTTTCTTGTATAATGGACGAATAAATGCAAAGTATCGTTCGGTACACCATTTGCCCAATTACTTTATTAAATTTATAAATTTCATCTATTTGGATGCCATAGTTATCGAAGTTTTAGTTGCTACCTATTCTTCAAATTGACCAGAATGATAAAAAGTGGCAGAAGGCATTGTAGGTACAGAAATTCTAGAACTATTTTTTAAGTTCTGACCAATTAGAATGCACAAAACAATTTCTATTAACGAGCGCCTCCCCCGCTTTTACATTAGTATACACACCAATCTACCAAATCTTTAATAGATAGTGAGGGAACGCGCGATATTGGATATATAACGTTCGTCATCACCCATCTTCCCATTAGACAATAAAAAAGGATCAAATGGCCCTGAAAAGATATTAAGTTTTATTTTTCTATGTGTTTTATTCACCGAACCTCCGAAACTTAAGCAGGGTCCGGCAGAATTACATAGGAAACGTGACTACACCGCGCGTTGATTCGCATATGTACACTGAAAATAAATATAAATCTTACAGGTTTATATACTCCGTACTTTCTTCCTTTCGCTGGTTCAACGCGTAATAAATCGTGGAAAATTCGGCTCGTCTAGTCACTACCTTTGTACTCAATTAACAGCAGCAGCTTGTTTGCGCCCCCTAATACGTTCTTCTATTTCCGGTCGGAAGTGCCTAATGAGACCCTGAACCGGCCATGCGGCACCATCAGCCAAAGCGCAGATAGTGTGCAATTCAATTTGTTTGGTCAGCTCCCACAACATATCAATCTCGTGCTCCTCAGCCTTTCCTTCCACGAATCTACAGAAATTCATCTTTAATATTATCTCGTCTCTAATGTATACCGCCAACTTCCACAAGCTCCAGAGCTCATTTTGGACTGGAATGCTTTGAGGTAAGGTAAAATGTACCTCTTCAAGATCTTGAACATCCAGCTGATTCCTTCACGACACGGTGTACACTGTCCACAAGACTCATGCTTGTAGAAGCTCAAAAGGCGTGTGATGGCCTTAATGATGTCCGTCTGCTTATTCATTACGATCAAAGCTGCTGTACCAAATGAGCTCTGAGCTCTTACGAGGTCGTCGAAATCCAATAATACTGTATCGCAAACGCTGCAACATTATTCAAATGATAAGGGGATTCTCAGGAATATGAGTCTACACAGTTCAGTACCTTTTAGGAATGACAGGAGTGGATGATCCACCAGGAATCACACCCATCAAGTTATCCCATCCACCGATTACTCCTCCAGCATGCCTTTCAATAAGTTCTTTCAAAGGAATGGACATTTCTTCCTCTACGGTACACGGGTTGTTCACGTGACCGGAGATATTATACAATTTCGTACCATGATTACGTGGACGACCGAATGACGCAAACCACGTTCCACCCCGTCGGCAAATGGTCTATACACAAAAAATCCTAATTTTAGAAACAGAAGTCCGTATTTGTAATTCTTGCTCAATAATATGAAATGCATACAGGCGCCACAGCGACGGTTTCAACATTGGTAACAGTCGTAGGACAACCAAACAAGCCAACATCAGCTGGGAAAGGTGGTTTTAGCCTAGGTTTTCCCTGTTTTCCTTCAATAGATTCTATGAGAGCTGTCTCCTCTCCACAAATGTATGCTCCAGCTCCACGTTGGACAAAGATGTCGAAATCATAGCCAGACCCACAAGCATCTTTCCCAATTAGACCAGCTTGGTAAGCCTCTGCAATGGCCACTTGCATGTTAGATGCCTCATTGTAAAATTCACCACGAATGTAGATGTAAGCGGCACATGCACCCATTGCACGACCAGCAATGAGACAACCCTCTACAAGCTTGTGTGGATCATGACGTAGAATTTCCCGATCCTTGCAGGTGCCAGGTTCTCCTTCATCACCGTTAACTACCAGATACTTTGGCCTTCCATCCGACGGCTTGTTCATGAAAGACCATTTCATGCCAGATGGGAAACCAGCACCTCCACGACCTCTTAGGCCAGAGACCTTAATCTCATTGATGATCCAATCTGCACCTTTGTCCAAGATTTGTTTAGTCTTATACCAATCTCCCCTCTTCAAGGCACCCTTCAACCTCCAGTCATGTCTGCCATACAAATTTGTGAAGATACGGTCCTGATCAGCCAAGGGCCCACCCCTTTTCTAGAAATGAATGCAAAATCAGAGTGGCAAAATCTGTGTCGAGTAAAGATGCACAAATAAGCAAACTTATCGAATACCCGACGTTGTTTGTGACAAATTAGTTGTATGTGACATGATGTCGCAGGCACCCGACATGCGCCCGATTAAAATAACCGACCCATACTTTCCGGATATATGTATATCCGTATATACATCCCTAATATCAAGATATCGGATATCTAAAACGATCGTGGAAACGAAAGTCCCGTACCTTTCCTTCCGGTGCAGCATCGGCAAACGTTCTTTGCTGTTGGTTCGTTAAGGTGGATCCAAGGAGACCTTAAACGCAAATAAATCCTTTTTAATTACATAACCTTGTCTCAACGGAGACGCATAACGCCAAAAATCTCATGGAGTCTTAAAACAACGGAACGTAAACATCCAACAACCTGCCGATTGTCTCGAATGTTTCGAACACTTTATACATTATAGAAATAATATAACGCCAAAACTCACCCAATTGTCTCCTGGGAACCTGAAAACAACGCACTATGGCCCCAGCCATTTTGCCGTTTGCGGACTTCAACAATTCGTCGTTCGATGACACCCTGACTTACCCGTAGGTCGCTTTTTCCCCTAGTGGAAACCGAGTTTGCTCGTGGGTGTACATCATGTCAGACACACGTGCTCTTATGTATACTCCGGGGGTTCTGCGACCCCACGTTCTCTCCACACGGGGTCACTGGCGCCTACGACGGGGGCTCCATGACCCCACGTTCGTAAAACAAGCGGCCGCTGGCGCGTCATCAAGGGGCTCTATGACCCCACGAACACACCCCACGAGGGCGCTGGCGCCTCCACCGGGGGCTCCATGACCCCGCGATCACAACATAAGGGGTATATGGCACCATCATAAGGGGTTCTATGACCCCACGACCTCACCCACGGGGCCTCTGCTTGCTACAGAAACTACTGCCTACGTCTTTTAAACTTGGACTCTAGTAGTATCAGCAGAAACTGCCATGGTTGCTGGGGTTACTATATAAATTGCTCACAGAAGCACGTACAAGCGTCAGTCCTAAATCGACAGTTGCACGAGCATCATTCGACCGAGCTCGAGAGGTGTACGAGCAACAGCGATAAAGGATCACCTTTCAAATGTGTACTGACCCAAGCCAACACTGTTAAAATCGCCCTTTATTTGCAACGGTTGACACTGTAGCTCGTCATGCGTACCCCGGTTAGTTCACTTTGGACACCTCTTATACCGTTATACGCGCAGCTTTCGTTTAGATAAAGAACTCGATTTGTAGCTGAAAGTACGTAGATTATTCCACTTATATTGATAATAACAATAAACGACCAGAACACTGTTAAAATCGCATTTAATCGCGGAATACCACTATTTTATTGACCGGTGGCGCCGCCCGTGGCGAATCGCTCAAACTGCTAGCCAAATAATATCGACAGGTGAGTGAAAATTTCTAGTGATGGAAAAATGCTAATATCTCAGTAATTAACCACTTAAAATGAACGTTATTAGTCTCAAATTGTCCCTCAGGACTTAATGCATCGACCCAATAGTGCAGAACAGCTGAATTAGTAAAATTAGTTAAGTCTGTATTACTGTAGCCCCTTATGAGGCGGCAACCCTAATTGCAAATGATTTCGAACGCATTTACACCGCTAAACGGGCATGGTTCTTCTTCGTTTTGCATTAGAAGCACTGCTTAAAGAACGTAGATTACTATTCTCTAACGGCTGGAAACCAGTAACCGCAAGAACATTGTTAAAATCGCATTTGTTTGCAACGGTTGACACTGTATCTCGCCATGCGTACCCCGTTTAGTTCACTTTAAATAGCTCTTCCAACGTTTTATGGACAAGTTACGTCTTCATCAAGCATTCAGTTTGAAGCCGAAAGAACGTAGATTAATCTTCTGTCATTGAAAATAACAATAAACGACCAGAACACTGTAAAAATCGCATTTAATCGCGGAGTACCACTATTTTTCGACCGGTGGCGCCATCCGTGGCGTAACCCTGAAACTGCTAGCCATATAATTGGTTAGTAGTTTCAGCGATTCGCCACGGATGGCGCCACCGGTCGAAAAAATAGTGGTACTCCGCGATTAAATGCGATTTTAACAGTGTTCTGGCCGTTTATTGTTATTATCAATAAGAGTGGATTAATCTACGTACTGTCAGCTACAAATTGAGTGCTTCAGCTAAACGAAAGCTGTCCGTATAACGGTGTGCGAGCTGTGTAAAGTGAACTAACCGGGGTACGCATGACGAGATACAGTGTCAACCGTTGCAAATAAATTGCGATTTTAACAGTGTTCTGGTCGTTTATTGTTATTTTCAATGACAGGGGATTAATCTACGTTCTTTATGCTTCATAGCAAATGCTTGATCATGCCGAAATCTGTTTGCATAACATTGTAAGAGCTATTCAAAGTGAACTATAGGAGGTGCGCATGACGAGACACAGTGTCAACCGTTACAGATAATTGTGATTTTAATGATGTTCTTCTTATTACTGGTTCCCAGTCGCTACAGGATATTAATCTACGTTCTTTGATCTTGGAATCCAAAGCCTGACAAAGAAAAGTTATGCTCGTTTAACGGTGTAAATGTGATTGTAACCTGCTGCGATTGGGGTTACCACTCCATAACATAAGGGTCTTCATTAACATATGCATAAATAATGTGACTAATTCTGGGTTTCTGCAGTATTGGGGCTAATTTGACTGTAACACTTAAAAAAGTTTTGAAGTTCCATTTATATCATTATCCTGTGAAAATGTTCATACTTCCAGCAGCATTCATATTACAATCAAAGAATTTACAGAATAAGAAAAAGGAATTTAAAGTAATTTTCAGTAGTTCCATACATCTTTATCTCTAATAATTTTCTAAAACATTCAAAGTACTAGACATTTTTACACTTTGAATTTCATATCGATTTCTAAAATAATCCTAGTTCGATGTAATATAGAACGTGGTTTTATGAAATAGATTAGAAGTTCGCAGCCATTAGCTCGATATTGTCTTCAGTTTATAGTACTTTACCGATGACAATACCGATTGCCCAGGCCTCACCACGAGGAGGTTGCTGCGAGTGGAGGCCCAAGGCAAGTAGATGGAATCACAAGTTCTACATCTACCCACCTTTCACAATAAACCTTATAAATTACTTAAATCTTAACTATATAATACTACCGATACTAAAATCCCTCGGCGGATGACTTCTTTCTTGAGCCTAAACCTATAAAAAACTAAGTTCCCTCGTCGGTTGTCTTCGTTCTTCAGCTTAGAACTAATATTATCTTAATATTCTAATTAATACGAATTAATGCTAGTAATACGAAATAACAAATTTAACGCAATGTAGTCGCTAATACTCAAACGAAAGAGATAGACGGAATGGAAAAAGTTCCATCGATCATTTCGTTTACGCACCTAATATACCAAGCCAAAAATTAATTCTACGATGAACCACGTTAAACTACAGTATGAACAAGTATCGCGATGAAAGTGTTGTCGCCAGAACCTGGTTTAAGAAAATAGGAAAGACGGGCGCAACCTCGCAAACCCGAATCCATCTCTCACTTTCCAGGCCCTTTGGGCTGGTCACCTACGTACCAGACCCGAGCACAGGTCATGACCAAGTATGGTAGTGCAAGCGAGATCCCCTGTAAAACAGAGTCCTTTTACGGAGCAGACTCCCGACTACTCCGTAGGCGGGTACGTTGTACCCAGGCGCGCACGAGCCTTTACTCCAAATCCTACTTACCAGGCAAAGACTAAACACGTCCGATATCTGGCTTCTCAATAGAAACCAGAGGGATCGGCAAACAGTCTTAGTGCACAGGCCCACTGCCCGTACCATAATAGGTACAGACCCACTGCCCATACCCCAAGTCTGTGTAGAGAAATCAACGAGCAAAATGAATTAATAATAACTTGGTATGCACAATGGCTGATCACAATTTAAGTCTATTAATAGATAGACTAAAATTAATAATAAACGATGTGATGATGAATATGAATATAACAATGAATATCGAATTATGATTTAAGTTTAACTTACAGTAACTTAACGCAGTGGTAGACGCACGCTTTGAAGATGTAGACGTTGATCGATGTCTTCTTTCGATGGAATAACTGTTTGGAAAAATATTTTTCATTATACAATACACATAGAATACATAATATGCACAGTAAATAAATCACAGTAAATAAGAAAATAAATATCGAAGCCAATGGTTCTCGAACATCTGTAACATACAAGGAATTAGTAACAAGAGAGGGGACACAACAATATGCACAGTATATAGATTAGTAACATGCACAGTAAATAAATAAATAATATGCACAGTAAATAAATCACATTAAATGAATCACAGTACATAAGAAGATAAATATCGAAGCCAATGGTTCTCGAACATCTGTAACATATAAGGGATTAGTAACAAGAGAGGGGACACAACAATATGCACAGTAAATAAATTGATGGTTGTCGAATGCCTGCAACAAACAATGGGTTAGTAACAAGAAAAGACGAGTATGAGACGCGCGACCACCCTCCGCGACGGTTCACGAGAAAGTGAGGAAGCAAGCACAGACCTGCACGGGATGGTACGACCTTGGTACACGGCGTACACGGCTAAGTCAATAAACTGTGTGACGCAACGTTACTAGTGCGTTGGACTGACGGAGAGAACCGATACGCGGCACTCTCTACCGTACTCTCTCGCTCGCACGCCTTTCCCCATAGACCACTAAAATTCCTCTGCACGCGTCAACACCGACGGAGAGCACCGATACCGCGGCTCGCTCTACCGCTCTCACTCGCACGCCGGGATGTCACCCGATTCCCGGAATCCCGCTACGAGACGGCTCATGACGGTAAGGCATTCCCGCAAGGGAAATTGTAATGAATGGGAATAACATAATATGAAACATCTTTACCTCTTCTTGAACATTCATACTCCCATATAAATTATAAATATGTAAATTTAATAAAAGCGGTGTATATTTTCCCCCACATATAGATTTGATAAACTATTTATGAAACTACATCTATTCTGATGCATCGCCTATAATTTGGCTAGCAGTTTCAGCGATTCGCCACGGGTGGCGCCACCAGTCGAAAAAATAGTGGTATTCTACAATTAAATGCGATTTTGACAGTGTTCTGGTCGTTTATTGTTATTTTCAACGACAGGAGATTAATGTACGTTCTTTTAACTTCAAATTGAATGCTTGATCAAGACCTCACTTGTCCATAGAACGTTGGAAGAGCTATTTAAAATGAACTAAACGGGGTACGCATGACGAGATGCAGTGTCAATCGTTGCAAATAAATGTGATTTTAACAATGTTCTTGTAATTACTGGTTCCCAGCCGTTAGAGAGTATTATTCTACGTTCTTTAAACTTCGAATTTAATGCGTGACGAAGAAAAATGATGCCCGTTCTCACAAGTACTAGTTTCTAACTTCGTTTATGAAAATACAAATTCCAAAATCTTCTCGCGCCTCCTTTCTAATACGACTCATAAGATGATAGGCCTATCCTATACCTAGTCGGTGCTTGTATATTCTAGCGTGGAACCAAAATGGGTAGATTCTTACTATTATGCCAGAATTGGCCGCTTGGTGCAGCACTTGCCCGGAGCAACGAATTTCCGGGTGAGAGCACTCTCATTTCCTCTCTGCAGATACATATATGTTAATGTTAATGATAGTTTTTAATATTCCTTATCAATTCGGGAAGATTCGCTAGCCAATTTGATAATATTTCAGAAAAATTGTAATCTTTATTTTTTAAAATGTTCCATTACCCTTTAAAAGTGTTTTCATGTGTACTTGTGATTCCCCGGTTGTAGCAATAGGGTGGACAACTATGTAACGAAGCAGACAGGAAAGAGCTGGCCTTCGTTATCAGTGAAATTTGGAACACGCCCCGTAGTCGTTGAAATTAAACTGGACGTACTCGATTGTACTCAATCTCCGCTTGATATGCGCGAAATGTTATGTGTCACCTTTCACGTATTTTCGTGAACTTTTTATAAAAAGAGCGGACCGACTAATCGAGTACAACACTGTTAAATTTGGATCAAGATTTTTCTAGCATATTTGTAAAATGGTAAGAGTTTCTTGTAGATCTTTTTGGAATAGGTTATGGTAATTTGTATTTCTTTTTTAGAAGATATAATTTCTTATCAGTAGACAAGTATAATAATCATATAAATGAATACCATTCTTTTGACACATAGTGGTTAGTGTCTTACTTAAAACTTTGAATAGTATTAAGTATTTAAATTTTTCATGATACTTTCGGGACCACTAATTTATATCATTAGAGTGTAAAAAATTAGTAATGATTTATTATCATTTTTACCTATTTTGTGTTTTATAGTCTGGGACATTGAAACCTTATCTAACAGCGGTAAGGAGAACACTTACTGCTGCTATGTGTTTGGAGAATTTCTCTTCTCAAATTGTTGAGAAGCATAATAAGCCTGAGGTTGAAGTCAGAGCCAGTAAGGAGCTTCTCTTAACTCCCATATTGATCAGTAGAAACGACAAAGAGAAGGTACTGATTGAATCCAGTATTAACAGTATGAGAATAAGTATCGCTGTGAAACAGGCAGATGATTTAGAGAAGATTTTGTGTCATAATTTTACAAGATTCATGACAATGAGAGCGGAACATTTTATCATTCTCAGGAGGAAACCTGTGGAGGTAAGGTTGATAAATTTACAGTATTATTAAATATTTAATCGAATAGGATTTATAACATTACAATTTTTCTACAGGGGTATGATATTAGTTTTTTAATTACCAACATTCATGTAGAACAAATGTACAAACACAAAATTGTAGACTTTGTCATTCACTTCATGGAAGAGATTGACAGAGAGATCAGTGATATGAAATTATCCATGAATGCCAGAGCTCGCATCTGTGCAGAAGAATTTCTAAAGAGGGTCAGTACGAAGAATACATTGGACATGAGGTGTTATAACAGTTATCTGATCAAGAATTTTATATTTCAGTTTTAATTCCTGGAACACAGTGTGTTGCCAACATAGCAATAATTGCAAATGTCAGGTTACTGAAAGTAACAATGCCCATAAATTAAGCCGACTAATGCTGTTAGAATTCATCTAAGGATAACTTCTGCAAACAGCCTTTTACCCAAATACCGATCCCTGCTGTTTTCCAGTTAAAAGATCCATTAAGTACAGTTTTCGATTAATCCGTATCATCGTCAGCTGTCGAACGATGAATAAGTCTGAGGTGCATGTAAGTTCAATAAGTTATTAATTCTGTGCATCATTGCCAATGGTAGCAAATTGGGGAATGCGCATACTTCTCCCAAAAGAAGTAAATGGAATGTTGTACTGGTATTTATTGAGAACGCGTGTTAACATTAATTTTAACGTTCTCGAATCTGGAATATAAAACTAAGAGCCACTTTATAAACTTTATACGTGAGAAATGTAATCTCGTAGAATGGGTCAGATTTTTTGACGTTTAGATTATTTCCATTTTGTAATCGTGATCAGTCCATGGTGCACGTTATTTTTACAGCACGCTAAGGATTAAGGTACGAATTGTGGATATGGACTGGAATTTAACTGATTTTTTACAGAGGATTCTTACCACGGTACTTCAGTGATTCATTAATACTTGTAATTTAATATCGAGTACTTTTACAAGCGTGCGATGCACGTTAGGAAGGCTCATTTTATCCATCGCCGGAACATTTTTAACGGACATTCCTAATTCCGATGCCCATCGTTTATTGATCAGTGCATTGTTAACAATTAGTAACTATAAACACAACTAACGTCCATCGATATTGGGTATTATAATGCGTTGAACAACTGCCAAAACACTATTTTAGCAAAGCAGAGCGATCAAACGACTGTAATTACAATTATCTTAATCGATACATTTAGCCCTAAGATTTCTGTACTGTAATTACCAGATGTGTGACGTGTCTTTATCGCGGCGTATTTAGAACGAAACAGAGCTGTACTTTAAAATTCTCTTTACCTTCCGCCGTGACTCAGATTCGAACACCCTGAACAGTATATATTTCAATTTTCGTTGAACATCGTTTGATTGCCGCCCCTCCTTTCGATGATGCATTCGTTAGACCTTTACACGCTCTGTCGATGAACACGTGCTTCTCAGAGCAACCACGAAACGGGGTGTGGCGTATGCGCAAAGCGTGGGTGCAATTCCTTTTGCATTCACGAATGTTCTATTCATCTTACGAATCATTGTAACCGTATGATTTAACACTAATGTAAATATAAATAAAACGATAAGAACGAGGATCTGCAAGTTCTGTCCTTCTTCCGGTGGTCCTGGAACCGGAAGATAAGGTCATTCTTTTAACAAAAATAAAAACACATTTGACCTTATCCAAATATTCTTCGTCAATTCTATCCGTCGAACCTAGTTTCCACTCGATATTTCACATGTTTTCAATCAACCGATGATACTGATCGTATTTTTCAATTTGACCAGTACGAGGAATTACTTTTTTATCTCCCTATTTTTCGGTGATTCCCCGGATCGTGCGTTGGCCCCTTAAATTCTGCAACGTGTCGTGCAAAGGAGGCGAACGAAAACAGAGATAAAAACCGTATCCATGGGAATCCGTCACGTTCGCCTCGCGGCGACGGCGGGGCAACTCATCTTTCCGATGGGGAAGGGTGTCTTGTGGGGCCCGGTACCGTTCGGCAATCGGCAATGCCACTCGCCAGTGGCAGTCCGCGAGTTTCCTAGCGTTGAGGCACTGGTGTTTCGATCGGTATACAGTTGCCCTGTGCAGTTCTTCGCGGTAACGGCGTGGCTCCCCTTTTCCCGATCAAATGGGGGGAGGGGAAGGGGTGGGATCGATTGAAGTACATAGATAGGCGACACCGCGAAACGCTACCGATCGTGACATTATCGGTAAACGGTCTTGAGGAAAGTAGAGATCCCAAGGTATCTCGGACACGACGTACAATTTCTGAATAAAAAAGAAACAGGGAGACGAAGAAAGAACAGTGTTTATATAAAAGAGACATTAGAAAACAGTTGTTAATTAAACTGCGATTTACAAGTAACAAAGTATCTTGTATCGTGTTCGGGTAACAGATTCTACGAATTATTCTTCGGTAGAAATGCTCGGAATCAGAGGAACTAGTTCACGATTGCGCGATACGAAAAGAGTGGTTGTAAGCAATTCCTATACGAACAACTTACGGTACTGAACACAGTCGAGGTTCTAGTTTGAAGTTACGAAATCGTGAATTTTCAAGTTATACAGGGTGCGGTCGAATAATATGTACAAGCGGGTACGAGGTGATTCCTTATGAAAGAATAAGAACAATATATGGAATAACATTTTTTCATTCGAGGCTTAGTTTTCGGGAATATCGATTTTGAAAATCTATATACGGGGTGCAATTGAATAGGACTGGGCTAGTGAGTCTGTTCATTGCATTCCGTTTCTACTTAGTGGTCAAAGATTCCGTTTCTACTTATGGTGAATACACGTGTTTTACATTAATTTTCAAAGTATATACCTTCTGTAATATTCTATATACAGTAAAGTCTCGATGAGTGCGACGAACTCGGGTCAGCTTTAGAGCATTCGTGGCAAAGCGGAAAGGTTTCTGTTTTAACCAAAGGGGGATCCCCCCAGTAGTGGGTACAACGCCATTGTTCGTTTGTCATTCATCGAGTAATCACTGTACCCTCTTCTAATGATCGTCTAACCGGCCGAACCGATCCAAGCATGAGAATACCAAAATTGATTCGACCATACCTCGATAAATCGAGCACCAAAGTCCATATAATCCACCAATCCAAGTTTCACCGTCTCGCTGGTGGCTGAACCGAATTCCCCCCGTGTGCAATTATTAAAAACACAGAGAAGGGTTACCGATCGTGAGGCGAACAGGGTGGCGGTGGGGGTCGGAAGCACCGGAAACAGAATCCTCTCGTGGAAACTTTTAAGCCAGCGGTCGTCTCGCGGCCAGTTACCAACTTCCTCGAGCTGGTAGAGCTCCGCGGAGGGGGGTGGTTTCAAGGGGGTAGAAGGGTGGCGCGTAATCTCGTTCACGGCGGTCGCGATTTCGAGATTACCCAGCGGTTTCAGGCCACCCTATTTCGCGTGGATGAAGGGTTGGGGGTCGAACCTTACCTCTCCACCCCCGCAGAAGATTGTTGACAAACTTCCTGCGGCGGAGGGGTGCGTCGTTACGAACCCCTCTAACGGGGGTTTTAACGTCGACTGATCCCTCCCCCTCTCCCCGTTTTAGGTTCGTCCTACTGAGGAATCGCGGCGCGAGCAAAGGGAGCGAGAAAGAGAGAGAGAGAAACTCGGTTGCTAGCGGAGACCTTCGTGGCGAACACCGCTAATTCCTAACGAGCGCCCAAAAATATACACACACGCCCGGAGAGACCGGCTGCGACGCTCGGCTGTAGATAGCTCGCGACGAAGAGGTGCAGGTAGACGAAAACGTAGCCGGATAAATAGAGGCTTACGATTAAAGAGAGAGAGAGAGAGAGAGAGAGAGAGAGAGAGAGAGAGAGAGAGAGAGAGTTTTAGTTTCTCTTATTTTCCTCTCCCGTTTCGTTTAGCCCCTCCTTCACCCTGACTACTATATGCATACATCGTGGAGAAGGGTTGCACTATATTTTATTCTTCTGGGTTTGACTGTTGGTGTTAAGGTTCCCCTACAATTTCGTCGGTCTACTAGTTCTTAATTGTTCATCTCTTTGCTAGTTTATTGTGGTATGATTTTTTAATATTGTAGCAGCGGGAACCTAGTGGAATGAACAAATACACTATATAATATCATTTCTTGAATAGATATTTGTTACATTATTTAAAAAAATTTATCTTATTATCAACATAAATTTTGCACTGTTATTAGTAGATTGCGGATTTTATGCATTTATAGCCTATAGGACTCTGTGAAATACAATAAAAAACAAATTTCAGATCCATTGAGTTTTCTATTTTACTCTGAATTTAGTAAGATACTTAAGAGGGAAAATAAATTTCTACAATTGTTCCTGTCTTAATAAATTACTTTGAAAACTTTGATTTTGCATAAAAATCCGCAGTCTAGTTATTAGTATTCGGAGATACAACCATTGAGGTTTGGTAGTTCTAGTGTTAATAGTCCTCTTATGTATAAGCACTGAAATTTGAAATCCTATTCATAAGCTACCGGTTAACAAGTTGTTAAAACCCACCTTACCGTTCGAGGTTTAAAGAAATTTTCTTAACATTTCTTAAAAAAAGTTTTTCTTCAAAAAACCCCCAAAAATTGCCTTATTATATATAGCCGTCACATAACCCCTTAAACTTTCCGCAAAATTTATAATTATTAAAATCTCGCATGAGCCACCATAACTTAGACCAAACTGTCGAAAGGGGTTGAACGATGAACGTATGAACCACCACAGAGTTCACCATCGTCATCCTCTTTTGGGTCCCTTCCGGTTCTCCCGTTCTAATATCGTCCCTCTCCTCCCTTAATCCTTCCTCCGCGATTTGTCTCCTCTTCCTATTTTCTCATTCTATTTATCTCCTCGCGCTCCGATTCCTTCTCTTTTATTTTCCTCCCCTACCCTATCTAGAATTCTCCACATCTCCCTCTCCCCCCATTCATCTCGAAGTGTGTCCTCCCCCTCTTCCTCCTTTTTCCCTCCCGTTGCTTCGCCGTTGTCTCTCCTCCTCGGTCTTTTTACCCGTCGGTTCTCTCTCTCTTTCTCCCTTTTTCCCTCCCTCTTCGTCTTTCTCGGCCGACGGGGACGCATCGAGACGTCCTAGCGGAGCTTGCGCGACGGCTGCCCCCCTTCGGTCGGCGTTTTTACGCCGACGCCGCAAGCGCCGACGCCGCAGCGCCGCCGTCACGGAGTCGGCGTAGTCCGGGGCCTGGCGTCTCCCGTACCGGGAACGGGTGAACACCACTCACGGCTAGAAGGTGAAAACTAGAGACGGCAGCATAACAACGGACACGGCCCGGTTGGTGTCTCGTTCTGTGCGTTGACACGAGGTGATCTCGCGTGGTTCATCGTCGACAGACTGCCACCGTGGCCGCGTGAAATGGAACAGATCGTCAGACACCGACCGACCTTTTGTACAGTCAACTTCATTCTACGCACACATGGTACAGAGTGACGTGCTGGTAAAGAAATTTAAGGCTTCCCGTGTAACGAACAAGCCCGAGTGAACGATAGAAAGAAAAAAAAAGGGGGTGAGGGTAATAGAGGAAGAAATATGTAATAAAAGAACGGTAGAAAAACAAATAGAATCGTGGAGATAGGAGAAGTTAGAAAAAGATTGACGGACTCGTGTGTCTCTAAGGGTTAGCCGGCGGAACACGAACGGAGGAGAAAGAGAGAGAAAGATTCGTCGGGGTAGGGACAGAGTGACTGCAAAAGCTCTGGGAGAAGGGGGTTTACGCGAAGCGTTCTGGAGAGGGGAAGCTCCGAAAGGGGGATCACGCCGGTAGAGGGACAGAGACGGGATAGATCGGCGGAGAAAGAGGAGGCGATAGTCGGGAGCGAGCGAGCACCGTCTTTCCGTGCCACGAGAGAGCACAGAGAGGGCCTGAAAGTCGAGAGAGTTAGGAGTTCCGTGGGCTCGTTGGTTCAGCAACGTAGCGACAACCATCAACACCAGCATCGTCGTCGAGATCGTCAACGTGACAAGGGAAGTTCGCGCGGCAACGAGTCGACGTGCGGTAACGAGTAGTAGGATCGTCGTGGTACCGTGGGATCAGAACGGAAATACGACCAGGAGGCCTCGTGGCGAACGTTCGTGCACGTTGAACGGATCGTCGTTAGACGGACATCGAACGGTGGACACTGTTCGTCCGTTGGTGAACAGAACAACGTCGACGGGACAGCTGATCAGGCAAAAACGACGGGATAGGAACAGTTGGGTGTTGAAGAATATCGTACCAAGGACCAGGTACGTCGAAGAATACACCAAGATCGTGGCTGGTTGGTGTAATTCCCGGTCCAACCGGTGCACCGTTTAGACGTCCTAGTGTTGACAAACATAAAAGAAGACGGAGAACACGAAGTAGGAACGGGGGTGAAATCCAAGAAGACACTCGTGTGTTACTTACTGTTCGACGACGAGGAATCACGCGGGTAAATCGACGGTAACCTCCTATCCCTTTAGGAGCAAGAACTATTACCGATTGGTTAGACACTTGGTTTCCGTTTTGGTGTACGTGTGTGAACACCGTCACACACGGTTCGTCAGGACGACGCTGTCCGCGGGCGTACGCTCGCTAGAGGACCGTCACCGCGGTGCAAG